AAAAAAAAAAAAAAACAAAAACAAAAAAAAAATACAAGAAACACGGATTCTTAAAATCCGTGTTTATAAAAAAAAAATTAATTTATTGAAACACGGATTATGAAAATCCATGTTACCTAACACGTTATTTCAAAATCCGTTTTCACTTGACTTAATTAAGGGTAATCACGTCATTAAGGAAACACGGATTTTCAAAATCCGTGTTTTGGTCAAAATAAGTCAAACACGGATTGTGAGAATCCGTGTTTCAGTCAAAACTAGTCAAACGCGGATTTTCAGAATCTGCGCGTTTTAGATTTGTCCACTCTTTTTTTTTTTATTTATTTTTGTTCACAGAATTTTTTTTCATTTGATTTAATAAATGATTCTAATTAGCTCGGTGGCCCGTTTTTATTCATTATATAATACCAACTATTTATTTCGCTCTTAAGTTTATTGTCACTAATTTTAACTATTTTGCTATTCTTTTATTTAAAACATCAATATTATTTTATAAACTTTAAGTTGTATTTTTCTTTTTATTTATGCTACTTAACTGGAAGTATGTACGCCTACTTAAAATTCAATATTGTGTACACTTAAATTTAAATTTAACTTCATTTCATGATACACAAAGATGACGAATATAACGTTTGATATAAAATAAAACACACGATATTACTCATTATTTATGCCAATCATTATATCAAAATTTTATTTTAAGGTAGCAGTAGACACAATATTTCTTCTCACAGTAACGAGCATGTTCTGGTTAGTACTACCTTGCATTTGCACAGAAAAATGTAAGTGACGGCACTTGTAACTTTGGCTCATATGAAAGCTGACATTAAAACCTTGGTAAACTGTGAGAACAGAAACCAGTCAATCATGATAAAAGTTTTAAAAGCTTTGCAACCGTACAATTATCCAGCATCAGTGAAAGTCTCCAATTTTGCAGAGGCAAAATAACAAAATGCACATTATATATAATCCGTCAAGCACAGCACCAAACACTGAATGAATCTCCACATGCAAAGGGAGCTTTGTAATTTCATATACCAATATAACTCTAAATTTTCACTATTAGTATGTTGTCATTGTGTTCATATAATAATACAGAGTCCAACTTTATTATCTACAACCACCAAAAAACTTCACAGGCATGACATGCTCTCTAATCCTCAAAAAAGGATTTGTATCTCTCAAATTTGTGAGAAGCGAAATTCACGATCAGTAAAAGAGAGAACAAAATCCGAAAAGGAGATGGGAAAAAAAAAAAATAATATTCGTCACCTTTTCTCCCTTAGCTCTGCTACTGGTACAAAAATAACAGGAGGGTCATTTAACTTATTTGCATTTGATTTACCAAACCTCTTGCTGGGAAACTGAAGTACTACTTGTTGCAATTTCTCGATTCTGCTCTTAATTTCACAGAGCCTTTCCATCTGAATCTCGGCTTCTGGTGGGCCATCTTTGCTTATGCAACTCGATTTCTTGTTAGCTTGTTTTGCCTTGTCTGTTAAATGTGTCGGGTTCACATCATCACCCACATCCTTGGTTGTCTATTGAACGAGAGCAAGAAAACATTAACAAGGACTATCATAATGTCAATATAAGGCAACATGTGCACCGGTATTTATTGTACTGAGGAATTCACTTCAACTTAACTATTCCACACACACACCAAAAGGAAAAAAATAAAAATAAACAAAAATGTTANAGAAAAGAACATAGATGAGTTGAATAACATTTCAATGGTTTATCTTTACATGGCTTAACTCATGTTCAAGACTGGTATGTCTACTAGGGGTGAGCACGGGTCCATACAGTTCGAGATTGTGTTGAAATTTGGAGATTAAAAAAATTCAATCTCCAGAACCGTACCAAGAATCAGGATAATTTGGTTTGGAAGATTTTTAATTTTCGGTTCAGTTTGGAACTATGGAGATTTCTAACTATCTTTCAATTTTTTTCGAATGACTATCTAGTTATATTTAAATTTGATTTTTTTTTTTTAAATAATCCAACAATCATAAATATACTTGATTGAATATTTTGTTTTGAAACTAACTTTAGAAAATAGAGAAACTAAGAATTTTAGTGAAGACTAAACTTGTGCAACATATGATGGAAATTTAAAATCCAAATATATATAATTCTTTTTAAGACAATATTTCTCAAATTTTCCATACCATATTAATTATAAGATGAAATAAACTAAGGAAATTATCAACAAACGTAATATAAATAAATTGGTCAAAAATAAGAAAATATTAATTATATGTCAAGTATTATTAAGTATAAAGTTTAATTGAATGCTAATTGTTATTACTATATGTTATTAAGTATTTTAAAATACTAAAGTTGACATTAAATCTATGAACAAGACACATGTATTGTTACAATTCGGTTCTTTTTCGGTTATTCGGTTCTCGATATGGTATGGGATGGTTCTGTTCGGTTCTCGAATTTAGCAAAAATGTTTCCATACCTAACGTGAAAATGAAAACGAAAAACTAGGGCCTAAACATTTTCTTACTTGCTGATAAATCTCAGTTAATAAGCATATTAGTTAAAACTTTGGACGGAACTTTAATCCAATTGTACCTGATTGCTATCTGCTTTTTTTAATGATTGTTTCTTTTGCTGCTTTATCTTGAAGGCATTGGCAGGCGAGCAGTTTTTTCTCCTTCTGACAAACTCCGTCAAATCCTTACTGCTATCTGATACCATATCGTTCTTGGATGCCATTTGATGAGGATGATCGCCATTTGCAGTTTCTGATATATGCTCCTTTTGAATACTAGAACTAGCATCCTCTCGTAGTTTTTCGGTCTGTTTCAAATCAGGGCTGTCCATGGTACCCTGTATATATAAGGCAAATTGAAATAAGTAACAAGTATTTATTAATTGAAAAATAAAAATCAATATAACGTCTGTTATTTGGATTTATATTGTTATTACGACTCAGAAAATTACTGGTCTTAGTAATGGTTCAGTTTACTCCATAAAATAGAGATTGGTGGGAAGAGAATATCATCAGTTTCTTTCTTTATGTGACCACAACCATGAAAAAACACTAACCACAAAAGACACTACGTTAAGTGCATTTTCATGAGTTGAGACCAGGCACAAATATTCTTTAAAAGAAAAAAAAAAAATTAGATGAGATACAGATCAGGTACTGACTCGCTTTCTTGCTTTTAGAGCTAGGTAGCGGGCATTCTTGAACCATTTATTGACCTACAAATGGAAGAGCATAAAAATAAAAGATATAAGGATCCCAGCACGACTAAAAGCAAACTCTTTTCCGTGAGCTGTTCATTCAATGCATACATCTATTTGTACAGAAAAGTCATGAAGTTGGCAAACTCAAATGATATCTAAAACTGGTAGCTTTAAAGGTCTGAAACTTGGACGATATAAATTTATTTTCGAGCCTATTTGTTGCCAGATTAACCGTATTTTACCTTCTCAAACTCTAGCCCTAGCTGCTTTGAAAGACTAACTCTCAAAGATCGTCCAGGAAGTTCATTCTCGGCAAACACAAGTCGTAGCTTCTGAAACAGAACAACAGAACACAAAGAAACAGAAGATGGGCATTCATTTTAAAAACAAAGAGAGAGAGAGAGAGAGAGAGAGGTATAGGGATTGTGTCACCTCAACTGCATTATGTGGGAGCCTGAAAGTTGGTTTTTTGGCCATCTTGCTTAACTCGTTCTCTTTCATTTCAGATAGAACTTCTTCTGATTTTTTCTCCTCAGTATCACCTAGGGCCATTAGAGTGCAGGCAGCATCAGTCTCCTTCACTTTCCGCCTCTTTTTTTGTGGACCCCAATCCTCATCCTCACTGAATTCCTCATTTTCGGTAGCATTTCTTCCAAACATTTCCTAAGGACAACAGCGAATTACTACCATTTTTATCATATTTTTACAAATAAAGGTCCTACATCAATGAACCAAATAAAACTAGCCACCCACAACCTTCTCTTGATTTAAATAAATAAATAAATAGTTAAACTGATGGAAATTAAAATTAAATTTAGCTAGTCACAGTTCTCTCAAGCCCATACAGTAACATCAAAGAAATCTTGATTTTACTCACATTATACAACTTGATATAATCAACAGCCACACGTTGTCTGGGCCGGCTTATAACCTCACCATCATCTGAATCTGCTCTGCCCACATCAAGGGAGTTATTTGAAGATCCTATTCTTCTCTCAAGAACTATTCCAGATTCATCCTCGAGCGACACCATAAAGCTAGAACTACATTCAGAAGCATTAGGCTGTGACTCACTATCACTGCTTTTGATTCTATCCGGATCATAGTCATCATCTTCAGAATCATCCGACGGCCATGCTTCTTCTGGGCACATTATGGCATTTCCATCTTCTGGCAAATTAGCTTCTTTCTTAAAAACATCCTGTCACAAATTCCACGTAAAATAAGCATCATCAATCAATGGATGAATAATTTGTACAAAATTACAAGTAGTTTTTTTTTTAAAAAAAAAAAATCAACCTGCCAATTACAATCGAGAGGGAAGTGGGTCCCGAGGTGAGCGTTTGTTATGTCCAGTATTTCCATTTTCTTCTTGCAAAATTTGCAAAACCACCCTTCGTCTCCAGGGGGAACTGGAGTAAATTATAAAATTCAACAAGTGCAAAAGGAATTTTTTTGACATATATTTTTATAACTCCTGCAAAAGACTAGAAAACTGAACTGGATATATTTTGATGTACAAGAAGCATTCACAGTGTAAGAAACCTCACTATTTTCTGTTGACAGAGGTGGATCCATACACTTCTGGTGAAAAGCACGGTTGCAAGTCCCGTCACAAAGTATAATGTCGTTATCTGGGAAAGCTTCACGCAACTGACATTTTGCGCAGACTATCTGAAAATTCTTACATAAGAGAAATATAAATGCAATGATAACTACTCAACTGGAACAAATATATCACGTGCTTTCTTCTATTGATGGCTTATGTTACATAGAGCGGAAACGAGAATGCATTGGCACTGACAGTATCTACACCCAAATAATCCTCCATAATTTGAAGAGAAAAAAAGAAAAGATGAAAAGGTCATACATGTTCATGATGAACAGACCCATCAGCAGCAAATGCCGAGTCATGGATACGTCCTTCAGAACTAAGCAAATCCAATTGGTGAACAGCTTCACGTATCCCTATTTTATACTTCACTATCTGATTCTTGGCTCTTTGTAGTTCCTTTTCTGGTTTTATCTTTTCCCGACTGAAAGGAGAGAATTCGCATTATGCAAATTATGCAACACACACTGATAATCCTACATCAAAATTTTTGAAGAGCATATAATCTGTAGCCAGCTTCTGTGAGTTAATAAGTCTGTGTTTTTCGTTTCAGTACCATAACAATTTGGTATGCAACAGTACGCATACCGTTTCAGACTCCTTCACAATCAAATTCTTTTTTTTCACATGAGTAAATTGAGAGTTTTTTCCCTTTCCTCTTCTCACAGCCCACATAATTGCTACATATTGACAGGACGAACATAGTAAATAAAAAATAATAATTAAATAAATATATTGGATGAGAATTTGTACCTCTGACCTTGCCAGCCTTCTGCGGAGTATGCATCAATAAAATTCTGCTCCAGATTAATTTTTATTAACAAGTACTTTGTCCTTCTCTGTAACCGGGAAGCTTCGTCAAGCTCCACATTATTCCCCCCCTTATTTTTCCTATTATTTTTCCTCATACGCTTTGCATCTCTAACATCTGTTTTCTCGTTCTCCTCAGTGTCAGCTTTTGACGTTTTACGCTTTAATCCACTCGAAGGTCTCTTTTTTGAGGCTTTATCCTTACACACAATGGCCTTACTGACGATCTTATGCCTCTTCAAGCTTACACTCACATTGCCTTCACTTAAGTGTTTCGCGACTTTTTTCTTGGATAATGATGAGTGGCCCTTACTACAGAGTTTCAATTCTTGCTTCAAGCTCTGTAAGGTCCTTTCATCATCGTTTTTATGCAACTTCTTACATTTTTTTCCCTTGGTGGCTCCGGGCATATTATATGATTCAACTAAGAATCAAACTGAAATTCATACAGGAGGAGGAAAAAAAATATCATGAATGCGATCAGTACAGAAGATTAAACAAAGTAAAAATAAATGGCAATCACACTAGCATCTTGACCTTGGGATTTCAATTTTGCAAGAAACAAACACAAGGTTCTATTAATCCACCCAATCTAACCAACGAGTCCCAATTCAAGAACCATGATCACGTCAAACATGACTTACTAAGATTAAAGCATCAAAGTTAAGAAATTCGATCAAACACTTGGAGTTCAAATTAGAACAAAATTAAATCACCAACGATCTTGGTAAATAAAGGAGGGCACAAGTGGCTTAAGTGGGCAATTTAAGAGCAATCTAGACTGACAAGAAGCAAGATTTTCAGTGATTGAGATAATTTAATAGCAATGCTCAACCAAAAAGGGAAAAAGAGGTGTCACCTTTGAGAGAGAACGGAAGATCTACGGAGCTTAGGGAAACAAGCCGCATGTAAATATGTAATCTGGGCGAATATGTGAAGGAAAATGCCTACTTTGATTGATTCATAAGTATTGGCAGAGTATTTTTTCGAATTTGAATATATTTGGAATTGGAG